ATGATGTCGGCAATCATGACTTGCCCTTGAGCGTCTGCACAATAGAGCGGAGCCCGAATCTGTGCCCATGCCCATGACCTGGAGGCGTAGCCGCACCTGTAGATAGTATTTTTGTCTCGGGAGTAGTGAAGCCCATCTTGGCAAGCTTGTTCGCACGTGACCGTCCGTTATCGCGCCGTACGACAACGTCAACGTCAACCAGTGGTGATGGTGCAGCAAAGTCAGCAAGTGACGAGTCATGCGCTGGTGCCGTAACGATACGGCTCAGCCGTACGCCGCTTGTACGATCAGGATCCGGTGTGCGCGAGCGGGAAAGTGGTGGTGGGGGGAAGTGGTTAGCATGGGTGCGGACTTGATGCTCGTGAACGTTGCTGCGGAAGAGGGTTGCTCTAAGGATGGTACACGTACGAGGGGGGGTGAATGGACGAGCGGGCGATCTGCACGCAGTTCAGGGTATACGTAGGACACCTCACCCCCTGGCCGCGCCGGCGCGGCTGAGCGCGAACGATGATGAACGTGTACATCCGGGCTAACCTGAGTAGAGAGGAAGCCTACAATACGTGCAGCGGTCAATCTGTGGTCCAAGTGAGCGGCATAAACTTACTATCATCACTACTCACAACACCCTCACCATTATCCGGACGCCGCTGACGTCCCCTCCAGGAACGTCCCATTCGATATTCCGGCCCTGCGGAACCTAATGGCCATCGGGGTGATGCCAAATCAAACGATCCAGCCGCGCCGGCACTGGCACTGGCACTACGCATCTTTACATGCGAAGGTGGATATTGTTCCCAGGCCTCGATATCAGCCGTGTCAAGGGCAGTACCTTCGCTGGCGCGCCGTTCAATGCGCAACTCCAGAGCGGCCCTACCGCTTTCCCCGGCCTCTTTGAGCGTGCGTTCGATTCGTAGACTTTTGCCGAGAGCAGCAAGTCGGGCACTGAGTGGAATATCGTCGCCTTCCTTGGCGGTGAGGACCTGGCCGCGGGCGTGCGCCACGAGAGCCTCGGCTTGGGCAGAAGATGACACACTTGATGCTTCCAGGCCGATAAGCGGAGGAGGCCTGTGTGAATACACATTGACTTTCGGGTCTTCGATGGTAGGAGGAAGGACGGCAGAGAGTGGCGCAGGGGTGCGGAGGCTTGTGCTAGACGCGGTGGTGGCGGAAAGGTTGGTGCTAAGTGAGTCGCCACGACCGCGGGCATCGATGGACCCAAGCGAATCATCCCCGACAGGTACGTCGATACTGAAGGGGAAATCCATGTCTTGCGTCGACGGGTCTGCGGACATCATCCGGCTGCGTATGGCGCCAACACCATACTCTTCGTACTCCTCCTCCTCTTCGTCTTCATCCTCGCTCTCCTCACTGAGACGATCATCACGTCCTGGACTCAAGCCAAAGAATGCATGACGTGGGCTCTTGCTGAAGAGACGTTGAGATGGGAAGAAATGAACACTGAGGGAATACCACCAGTGCTTGGTGAACCAGAGGATGCCCCACTTGAAGGAAGAACCTCGGAGGAAACGGAGGACTAGGATCTTGGCCGGATCCATTGAGTTCCAAGGCAAGTGCCGAAGGTGAGGAGGGGACTGGCGAAGTCGGAGAGGAAGTCGGGTTGCTTGTCCCGGCGGCCATGCTTACGTCTGATAGGGTGCCGCCGCCGGGGGTGCTGTGAGAGGAGAGGAGCTCTGAGCTGGGCTTTCTGAAAAGGTGCAAAAGAGAATATTTGGAACCGAGGCGTCGCGAGTGGGGATGGTGGGGCTCAACACCGTTCCCTGCAGAATTGGGACGGTGTTGACGCCGACGGGATCTCCGGGGAATAGGAGGGTCATCAGACTGTGGTAAGGAAGAGCGGCGATCGGAGTTTGGAGGAGGAGAATCCGATGATTCGGGGGGTGGCCATGTACAGTCTGGTATGGGGACGGCATTATCTTGTGGGTCGTTTCCTGAGGAACGGAAAAGAAGCATGGCATTTTCGATCGAGTGCTTGACGCCGAGACGACGAATAACGTGGGTTGAAATGCACTCGAGTCCATCGCACGTACACACGGAGCCGTGGTGTTCACGACAATGTGATGTAGGCTCAGGTTCGTCAAGAGGGATGGCACCAAGGAGTGTCTCACGTTCGACAAGATCACGATCCTTGTTGACAATCCAATCACGAATAGCGTCGGCGCATGGGAGCCAACCGTTATCTCGGGCAAGGACCTCTGGAGTGACACCGCGTTTGTCCGCGCGGTCTGGACGGGCGCCATGGCGTAGGAGGGTGAGGACGACTTGAGTGTGACCATTGGCGGCGGCGAAGTGTAAGGGAGTTGAACCGGTTGCGCCTATTATGGGGGCTGAGGGGGAGCGGGCCTTGTCAGAGTAACGACGAGGTAATCTGAGAGGTGTTAAACGGATATAAGCGCTGGGTTGGGGGCAATCAGTGGTGCGAGAAAAAAAAAAATACCTTGGAGCGTTTACGTCTGCGCCATTGTCTATAAGTAATCTAACGACCATGTCGTTTCCGCCGGAACACGCGGCATGAAGAGGAAGAACACCATCGATGACCGAGTTAATAGGTTGTCCGTGAGAGAGTGCATATTTTGCGAGACCAATGTTTCCGGTAGCTGCAGCGGAGTGGAGACCTAGATGGGGGACTTTTGGACCAAGAAGTGAGACAAAGGAAGAAAGAGAAAAGAGAAAGAAAACGTACACTCTGTGGTGACATTAAACTTTGCCTCTGCTTTGTGTGACCTCGAGGTTGTAGGCATGGTTTTGGTCGAGGTGGAGGACCGAGGTGGAGGGAAAGAAGGAGTTGATCTGTGTTATGTTATGAAGGGAAGGAAGGCATGCCGGTTGGACCCGCCCCGGACCTATTTTCGGTTTAATCCAGAGTTGTGCTTCCATTTTGTTTGGTTTTACTTAACCCGTTATCCCTTGCCCGATCGACTCGACCACTCAATCCACGCTTACTTTCCTCTTTTCTCGGCCACAATCCCCCGTCGGCTGCCGTCGGGGCCCGTTCACGCTCCGGAGGTTCTGCTCCACACCCCATCCGTTTTGCTTCCCAAAACCAAACAAAATCAACAGTCCTCCTTGCCAACGACCCATCAAGAACCCTCGATGCGGGCGCTGCGCGTCAATCGCCACCGGCATGCCTCGGCAGGCACTTATCATCAACAGTACAGATGCCTCCGCGCCAAGCCACCACATAAGGCAACTTGAATCATAAACAGCTTTGCGCCCCTTGATCCAGCTGTTTCCCGCTCCATCAACGCTTTTACACCTGCAACTACACCCAAATTCCGCGTTGTGTCGCACAAACCTTCAAATATCTTATTAAATCCGCAGGATAATCTTTTTCCCACAATCCATCCATCAAGCCGTGATGCGCAATTTGATCAGCCAACATCACACTACGTGGCTGTTCAAATCACACATTGTCCGCATCTCCCCTCTGATACAGGATACGTAATCTTTCGCTTACGAACAAGTTACTGCCGCTAACCGGCTAACCGGTTTCCTTTTCTCACTTGCGCTTCCTTCCTTTTCCCCATACCACTTCCGCCCTCTTCTGCACACCGGAACCTCAATTTCGAAGACCCCGGTCTAGTGGCGCCCGCTGCCACTTCCGATGTCTCCAACTGTCTTATCATTTTCCTTAGATCGCTGCTCTTGCTTGTTAACAGTAGCCGGCCTCCTAACTCTGGTCGGTCGTTCCCCCGATCGAACCTTTATTGTTGTTCTCGTGCACCGTCCTATCGGAGACGCACATCCGCCAGACAACTACGATCACGTTGTTTCAACATCTAGATTCTTAGAGCGGGAACCATTTGCTTTGCTGACTAAACCATCCTCATCTATCGTTTTGGATCCTCATGCAGCGACTGAGCCCCCGTCGCGCCCTGCACAGGACTCATCGCTGGTCGTCAACCTCCAGACACTCGCCGGATGAGCGCCAGCACGAAACACACAGCAAGAAACTTCGCGATCGGACCCTGTTCTGTTCGGCTGCATCACTTTGGAGCGCATCACGCATTTCTTGGAGCCCGGTCGACCATTAGCACGTGACCGCACATCCCAATTCACGAGCAAATGGCGCTTTGCCAAACGAGCTTGCAAACTCTGGTGGCTTGTGAAATGGACCGAACCGGAAGAGAAGTAAATTTGTCTCGCTGTAGCGACGGATATGATCGGGTGGGCAATCGGGGGGGGGGAGTCTCTAACCCCCCAAACCCACCACCACTTAGCACGGCTACTGCTTGATTGGGTGGGACATGCTGATCTTTTTTCCACTTTTTTTTTTTTTCCAGCTGTTTCGTGGACCCCCACTCAAGTCATCATTCTACCTTTGCAATCGTCTCAGCAAGTGAACAAGTGGTCAGAATAGGTGATCCATTCCGACTGTTCCATGGGCGAGGGCTTCCTATTCGTCTTCAATATTCATTAATAACTTAATATGTACAACACCGCGCACCGCCTTGTTACCACCACTTACGACCACTTTTCAAAAAAAGAAAGTGTTTTCTTAAATTCAAATTGTTACAGTTCGTTTCCTTTGTGCACGCGCCCCCATCGTTCAGGGTTCGCGCATTGAATTCTTATCGGATCAACACCTCCATCATTCGTTTGATCCAAGGTACTGCAGTAAGAACCCTAGGTGTCGGGTGCAAAGTTTCCACGTGGGACAGAACAGGCCACAGGCACCAGTTATGATATCAGTCGCTTGTCTTTCAGAGGCTTGACGCGCACGCGTCCACATGCCAGTGGATCACATCGCAAAGGAAAAAAACGAATCGATCATTGTGCTCGCGCGTCAATTCAGTGACATTTTAGAAAAAGCAGTACAGTAGTCCCACAAGGGCTACTAGTCCACAAACTATCACAATTCCTATACCTCAGTGGTACCCTATAAACCAAACTTCTTGCTCAGAAAGTTTGGTTCACCGGAGCCCATTCAGGTTTGTATTATGATTATGTCTGCATCCAGTGGGTAGTGTAGCAGCACAAACTGACCAGACTTGGGTTTGAACCCAGGACCCCTTGGATATATTCCAGATGCTCTAACCACTGAGCTATCTAGTCATGGCTCTCTAGGACTTGGATCTTCTATGTCACTCCTGCCAATCCAGCAGTGGTAATAGTGCAAAGTTCGGTGCTTCCAGGTTCCCCACAGAGTGTGGTACTACAATCCCCCCACGCAGGTGTTCACCTGAAGGAAGTTGCACAACAAAAGTGGGCCACGATCTGTCAATTCTGACGGCAACGGAGACTCCCCTCTCAAGGACGCGTAAAATTGCATCGTTCTCGAGTGCAATACACACATAGAGGCGTGACTTGTTTTATCATCCGTACTTCATTTGCTGATTACCGTACAAAGAAAAGTATCGTCACTAATAAGAACATCTATCTATCCGTTCCGATCCATTATGAATGCGAGTTATGTGTGTGTGCGTGTTGTGTTTGGTGTTTGAGGCATCGCGAAAAAAGATTAATCCCCCCTATAAGGGGAGGAAAAGAACGAAAAAAAAAAAACCAAAAATAGCAGTGGATGGGATGAGTGGGAAATGACGTGGCAAGGGAATTAAGGCATCATTGTATAAGCTCTGCGGCTTGAAGGTTGTCGTTGATGATACCGACACGAATAGCCCCAAGAATTCCGGCCATGGCCCGTGTGTCCTACAAATGAGGGTTGTATCAGAATGACGGGATCGAAAAAAAAAAAGAGCGACACTCACGGTCGCTGTGGTCAGGAAGGTGTAGACGCGACGGGGCTCTGGTGAGTGCTTGCGAGAGATTTCTGCAAATTGCTTGCGGAGATCTAGTTGGTGTGGTACCCCGTGGGGAGGTGTAAGTATATTCCAACAACTGGCGACGAACGACGCACATCTCGCTGCTGTTGGCATGTCATTTGGGCGGTCACCATAGGATGGGATCCACCGTTTCATCGAGACGCCGCGCGAGAGCTTCCTCTCGAGTATGTCGCATTTGTTTAGGAACAGGATCAGTTGTACCTGAAGGGCAGGGGGGACATTGCATGGGAATCCGTCAGTGGCTGATTGCAAATTTGGTATAAGATGGGATCAACCTTTGTGAGAAGCTTTGATTTACAGATAGTTGTCCAAAACTTCATGCTGTCCTCTAAACGGTTGATGCCTTCTTCTTGCCTCTCATTGAATACAGAGATTGGGGCGAGGAAGATGATCGCTTTTACGTCCATAAAATAAGGATACCATGCACATCGCTTGAAAGTTCTTTTTTATCAGATAACGAAAGAAACGACTTCACGTGACGAGACTTACGTGTGTTCGCGAGCCACCGACGTCGTAAAATATCCACTCTTGTCCTGTTTCACGTCCTTGACAACGGGTTCAATAAACACAATACAGAATTGACTCGAAATGACTGTACCAGTCTCAAACACAAATCGGTACTCCTGTACACCCATCGTCCGCAACCGAGCACGAACGACATCGTCATCCGTAGGCTCGTAATCTCGATGTGCAATGCGGTAGAGGTCATCCAAGAAGCTGATGAGAATAGAGAAGCTGATCAGACAGACGCTCCAGGGGGGCGGGGCGGATGATGCTCACAATCCAGACTGATCTTCAAGCCGAATGCCACGTTCCTCGAGAGCGGCCCGAACGTCATCGTCTCCCCACAGCGCTGCAATGTCATCACGCAACTTCAATATGACCTCCAGCGCCTCGTCTGGGATTGGGCGACGACCTGGGCTACGTGCCCGCTGCTTTGCAAGGCCGAGCACGGCTGCCCAGCCGCTCCGCGAACGCACACAGACCTCTGTCTGGCGTCGTGAGATCCCGAGCTCGGCCGCGGCATGCACTTCTTCGCCCTTGGCGAGCCCGAGGTGTGTTTCGAGATCGTGCTGTACACGAGCGAGTGGACTTAGACGGATCCGGAGCAGGTTCATCCGGTTGGCTATCTCGGGTACGTTTTGGAGCGTATCGAGGATCATGTTGACGGAGCGGACGAGGTTGAGATGGATCACGGTACGCCAAGACATGCGCTCTTCATCCCATGCTCGTCGTGCGTAGGACATTTGGAAGACTGAATGACATCGCTGATTGAGCACGTCTGTCAGGTAAAAATGGGAAAGAAGTAACCTTTGACCACTGTCGTCTTGCCTGGCGTATCAAACGCAAAGTCAGTTACGCATGCACCAAGGAAAGCATAATAAAAAAAAAGATAGGAAATGGAACAGAACGCACGCACGCACCGCTCTCCGCCAGACCGAGCATGAGCACCTTGACAGGTATCTTTTTTCGTGAGTTTGCTTGCTTTTCCGACCTGATCTGCTCATCGATCAGGTCACTCACGCGGCGTGCCTCAGCCTCCTTCGCCTCACGTATGACACGCATCTCTGGCGTCTCACCCGGCGGTGGGGAAAGCGCCTGAGACAGCGGATCAGCTGACTCATCTGAGCGTCGAGCCAGGCCGACCATCGATCAGGTTGACTGGGGTGAGGGTTGGGGAGGAAGAATAGAGGGGACCGGTCAGGAGCACGCTTTGGGACGACGCGTTTTTAGTAGAGATGAAGACGGGGAGAGGTCGTCGAATTGGTAGGAGCTAGGACGTTTAGGTGACGTTTTTAATGACACCGGTTCAGCGTTTGACGGCGATCGAGGTTAATACTCGGAAGGGAGCGCTGGTATCGGACAAGTCAAATTTTTATCAGCCAATTGGTTTTTTTTAACAAGTGCGCCTCGCTCACTAGGGTTCGTTCCGTTCATCTTGCGGCGTGGGTGGTACAGAATATCACCGTTTCCACCGATCAGGCACAAAAACTCTACACATCCTCCCTGAACCCCCATCTCGCTTATTCTACGTGCTAAAAGATCCACCGCTTGGCATCGCTTGGAAACCCATATGCGGGGGCGATCGCGTCGCATCTCCTTCTCAAAGTTGTCTCAGACTCCCCAAGAGAAACCTGGAGGCCCCACCGCCTCTGCGTTGACCTTGTCATCATGTTTAAAGATCCCCCTTAATCATGTGAGAAACCCAACGGGTGGACACCATTGTCTCATAATTAACTTTCGGTCGGTGGTGATGATGGTGATTATTCTCCGACACAGCCCCTTGGTACTAGCCGCCCAAGCACATTTGCAATAGGTAAGATCATTCCCGTGGACACAGACGTTGCAAACCATTTACGGGTCGAGCAATGTGGAAAAGCAGTGGCATTCATCAATTGATGTATATTATACCCAACTCTTTTCCGTCTGAAGCTTCTTCATCATCAAAGACACACACGCCCAGTTGTCCACTTTACTTTCACGTTTCTGTAAGTACCCCCATTTCGGCGGTATCAAAATCGGATAAACCAATCAGCTCATTTCAAACTTGTCTCACACCAACCGGCCAACTCTCGATTGAGAGAATCGAAACTAAATTTTTTTTTCAGACGCCAATTATCCCCTCTCACCCCTATAGCGTGTATGGCAGCTGGCCGAACCAACGGATGTGAAAAAGCACGAAAGGAGAGGTAAGACTTCGCCCGCCAGTCGTACGATGGCTATGGACAAGAGAGTAAAATCTCGGGCGCACCAACCCGAACGAACGGATCAAGGACGAAGTTACCAACCGACGACGCGAAGACTCGTACTACTGTACCGGCACTTTTAGAAGAACAGAACTACATTTTCAATTCCTTTGCCCAAGAAGGAAGGTCGCAAAAATCTGGCGCATTCATCGCACGCGCACTTTGATATTGTGAATGGAACGAGGCTGTAACGGGGCCCCTGTAGGATACAGTTATCGTACACATCCGCACTCTCAAACAGGGGCGAACAGCCAATAGTAAGCCGGAGAAAGTTCAGTTTGCGCACCCCGAATGTCATCCCGGTGTCAGGGGAGCCAAGTGGAGATGAACTGGCTGAATGAACAGGAGTTGACCTTCCTTTCAAGTCGGATCCACATGCGCCCATTACAGTATTACGTAGCAATGATCAATCGGCGTTTTCCCTGTGTGAGAGTTTGTCGCTTCGCCACCAAGTTCATTTCATGTGTTGATGATGAAACATGTCGCAGTCAGATGGATGAAGAGAGAACCAAAGTTTTTTTTTTTTGGAAGACAAGGCGCAATGTCGCAGGGTGAGGGGAGGAACGAGCGGAGCTTGAGGTTGAGTTTAGTCACCTTGGGATTGTCTAAGCGCCCCGGGCAGCGAGCAACCACGTTATTTGGTTGCGTCGGCCATCGCCAAAAATGACGCTTCAGCCGCCCACGTTGAATACTCAGGTACCGGAATCAGATGAGCGAAACCAACAATCTCCCAAGGCTCGCGTTATCCTCGTCGCCATTGGGTACGCTTAACGTACACGATCTATCCAAATCCAACAATCCGATCGTGTCTTGTCTTGTCTTTTTTTTTTTTTGCAGTGGCGCAACGTGCTCTGGTAAGACGACGCTCGCGAAGCATTTGCGCAACATACTCCCAGGGAGTTTTATCATTCATCAAGATGTACGCGTCCGTGTCCAGACCTAGCTTTGCTTGACTCACACTCCCGTCGCGCGCGCGCTCTCTTTGCAACCTCCTCCACCTTGCCCATTGTAGGACTTTGCACCTGTACGTACGCATACAACTCCACATACAGTAGCCCTGCTACCCACACACCCCCACCATCTTGAGGGAAAAAAATTATCATATTTTTTTTTTTTGCGTTTGACAACTCGGCTGACATTTCTTACGGATTGACCGACAGCCCGAAGCGACATTGCCGATCCACCCTACGCTTGGACAAGACTGGGACACTGCCGCAACGGCGATAGACTGGCCGCGTCTACGCGCTTTTTTACGTACCATCAAGCGGATCGCGCGCATCCCTGAAGACCATTCTTCGCACGACCATCTGAACGAGCAAAAGCATGTTCCCCTCGACGAAGTGGTGGCCGCGAGATGCAAAGCGGAAATAACCAAGGCGCAGGAGGAAATCGAGGCTGCGTCTGGCACGCGCGTCGTCTGGGGACTCGTCGATGGTTTTTTGTTATACTGGGATCAGGTAGAGCATATTTGCCTGCCCCCAACATCCTCCCCTCTCGCGTCATTTTCCGATTCCGAGCTGACGAT